TGCTTTCTGAGGGCTAGGATTAAAGGCACCCACCATCACACCTGGCCACAAACAGTTTTTAAGAAAATGCTTTTTACACATGATTTGCCACCTCAACATATCATTTTTAAAATTTTTCAAAGTTCTCTTGTAGTTTTGAGCAATATCCACTTATAATTTTTAAAACTTGTGAAAATATTGAGTACGTAGTTTTCTACTCATATTTTTCTACTTAAAATAATCAAAAGAAGTCAGGGTGATGGTGCATGCCTCTAATCCCAGCAGTTGGGAGACAGAGGCGGGTGGATCTCTGAGACCGAGGCCAGACTGGAATGTTCTACATGGTTAGTTCCAGGTTACCTGGGGCTACATAGAGAGACCCTGTCTCAAAAAAAAAAATTAGAAACAACATTTTCTTACATTGCTTCATTGTCTTGTATTTATTTATCATATAGTATTATGTAGAGTCATCATATAATGAACTTAACTATGGCTATTTTGTAATTTAAGGAACTTTAATCAATATGTTATGATCATAATACTCTAAATATGAGGAAGAAATTTACATTGAAAACATTTAGGAGCCAGGTGTGGTGGATGACACCTGTAATCCCAGAATTTAAGAGGCAGAGGCAGGAGGATGGTCACAGAACATGATCCATCCCAGAAAGTTCCACTGTGCTCTTCTAAGAAAATTTCTACCCCAACACCTAGAAATAACCAATGTTCTTATTGTTTTCCATATAAATCACCTTTACCTGTTCTGAATTTAGCATGTTCAGCCAGCCAGGGCTACATATCGAGAACCTGTTTCAAAAACAAATAAACAAAACAAGGATTTAGAACGCAGAACTGTTTAGATATAGATAGCACAAACAGGTGATAAAATAAATATGCTTCCAAACAATCATGCCTGCATGAGAATTAATTGGTCTATGACTAAGCAAGAACTGAATTTGTTTCTAGACTTCTTATTTGTGTGTCTAAAGATCATATTTCAACATTTGTGTTTATACTGTAGTGATCCTTTTAGGACAAACCCTCTGGAGATCCATTCCACATAAATACAATGTGCTACAGAGAAGCAGCAGGGTATAAAGGGAAGCATGCGGGTTTGGAATCAAACAGGCTTGGACTGCTGTGCCTTGAGATGTTATGTTCTGCAAAAAGACTTGAACAAAAATTCTCTTAACAGCTTTATTTATCATAACAAGACCTGGAAACAGCCCAGGGGTACATCAATATGAAAATGGATAATAGACTGGTATACTCACCCATGGTATGCTATTTAGCATGAAAGAGAATGGCCTAATAGTATACATAAAAACACGTGTGACTCTCAAATCATGCTCAGTGAGAGAAGCCTTACACAGAGTCCATACTCTTCTCTTATATAAGTATCAGAATGGGTAAAGGGGATTTATGTGGGAAACAATTAGAACATTGGCTGCTTCTAGAGGTTGGGGTGGGAATTTCCTCAGCAGAGACATGAGGGAGCTTTCTGGGATAGAAGCCATGTTCTGTAATGTAAATGGGTTGGGGCTGTGTATGTGTTTTCCTGAATCTATTTAATAGCATTCATGGGCTTTGTGTTCTATACTGTTATATAAAAATTTGTTGAAAGCAAAAGAAAGAACCTAAACAATATTGATCTCTAGCTAATTATATGCACAGGAAGCATTTACACTTACTTTAAATGAATTAAAAATTAATATATTTCAAGAGATGGTAGGATTGGTAGATAGTTCAGTGACTGGGCAGACAGTAAAATACTGTTACAAAATCTAGGGTTTCCTATGTGATTCAAAATTTTATAACCAGACATTATAAATGTCTTTCGGTCTTGGGCATGTTTCATAAACTTCTCAATTTCAGTTTCTGCAAAATGGAGACAATAATATTTCACAAAGTAAAGCATCCACCTCACTACTTTGCAAGCCATAAGTTGGAGGATTTGGTAGCATCACCTATGAACAGTGATCTGAAGTGGAATGTAGCAAAATTATTGGCAATATGAGCAACGGTCTGCCTGTCTGCTAGTGGCTGATTATATATTCCTTGAGTTGAGGAATAGCACTTTATGGTGACATTAATAGTTCCAACCCCAAGGATGAGAGACCTCATGTGGTGATAGCCTTCCTAAAGGGAGAAGAGAGAGAGACAAAGCATCATAAGCAATCATAATATGGGTTTTGATATTTAAAAGAACCAAATAGTTATTTGGTTCGCTAAACAGCTCAAGTTATGGTCACCCATTTATGTGACAAATATTTACCGGATGTGGACAATATGCCTGGTATTTCCTTAGGAGCTGAGGATACAGGGATAGATGGATGTACAGACAACAATGGCTGCCTGAGCTCCTAGGGCTCTTTCCAGCATTGTTGTTTATTAGATTTACCAAGATCAGTCTCAGCTGTAGTGCAGAAATATCGCGTGGCTTTTCCCACCACCCATCATAGGGATCGTGGACAGCACAGCTATAACAGAAGGTGGGTTAGCAAGAGAAAGCATGGCACATTCATTTAACTAAATGTTTGTGATACAGGGGCCTCCAGACATGAAGCTCCAAAGACCCAAGGAAAATTGTTTTCATGCTTAGGTTCAATGAAGAATGAACTGCCAGGTAGAAATGTGAATGGCCACAAAGATGTAATCTAGTGGTGTCAAACCAAGAGGGAAATTAGAAAGACCTGTCCTGTTCAGAATCCTCTTGGATTCTGTGCAGCTTTCCTTCTGAGAATGGGGTGAGACCCCCAACTTCAAGGGAGAATCGAAAGAGCAACCTAGGTTTTATCGCTTGCTTTCTAACATCTATGAATAAACTTAGGAAACTGGAATTTGGATTTCTATCATTTGCTTTGGGGGAGAGAGAGAAATGGAAGACAGGAGGGCAGAACAAGGTCAAAGAAACTGCTTCTGAGGCCCTCCAACATCCTTCAGTTCCAAACAGTTGTCATGCCATGGTCCCACACTTTGGAGCTAAACTTTTCTCTGGCATAGGCAAAAGAAATGAGTGCAGGGTAGAGCTTGAGATAACCAATGGCCTTTGTCAGGCCAGGAGCAAGATAAGAAACAGTCAGATGCCAGGAGGCAGTGTGGTCAGTCATGTTGTTTCCTTGTTCTTTTTGACTTCTGGTTTATGCTTGTGGAGTCTCTGAATAGCTCAGTTACAGAAGGCAGAGCAAGAATTACTGAACCGCTTACAATCATAATAAGGTATTCTAGAACTGGGTTTGTCTTGTGCCTACTGAATTGCCACAGCAAACAATCCAATACTTCCTGGTGGCATAGGTCCCGAGGGGGGGGGGGTCACAAAACAAAGAGACTATACAACTCACCCATGGCAAGAACATCGCCCCTAAGATTGCTCTAAGATCATTATGAGTTCTGAGCAGAAAAAAGAAAGATGGAAACCAAAAGAATATGGAGAAATACGTGTCTCACCGATAAATACAGCTATTCCTACAACCATAACACACCCTGGGAACAAGGAAAAACAATTTCTTCAGTTATTTTTACATTCTGAATTCTTAAGTGGGACACACAGATCCGTATAGGACTTGAGCTTGCATTCTCTTAATGGGGAGTGTACTGGGCTATGCTTGTAACACTTCCATTTCCTGTATTGCCAGCAGATATACAGCAGGCACATAATAAACATTAGTTGAATTATTACAGATTTGTTTCGATTTCCTCTTAGATTCCCTACAAATTATGAAAAATATAGAAATAGTGTTAAGTGATGTACAAATGATGCTAAGGAAAAGCTTGATTATGACCCAAAGTGTGGACAACAGCAAAGCCTGGTCATTGTATAAACAACACAGGTGTGCTTTCTCATTCAGAGGAAGAGCTACGATGAAAAGTTATATTCTGGGCATCTTCTTAAGAAGACCTAAAGAGTGCTGGGCATGGTGGTGCACACCTGTGATCTATGGAATTAGGCTTCCTGGCTTCACAACCCCAGCTCCACTCCTGAATTGCTCTCGAAGAGTTTAAGAGCATCATCATCATAGGGCAAGACCTTGTATATGGCAGGAAACCATCTACCATTGAGCTACATCCCCAGCTCTGAAGAGTTCAGGTGACTTGCTCAACCTCCATTTTCTCCACTTCACAAGATCTTTTACGGAAAAGAATCATTCAAATTAATGCACCTGGCATAAGTTCTGTCATATAAGTACTTCATACATTTTAGTTTTTGCTCCAAATTATCTTCTAAGATAATCCCAGTTTCCTCCCTAAAGTTTTTCAAAGATAACAATTTGCTAAATATGCAATTGAATGCAAAATCTTCTAACTCTGTAGGACTGTTTTTATAACTACATATTGACAAATCAGTAAAACATTCCTCCCTCTGGTGCCCTGATTTGTTTCTTGTTACAAGGGCTATGAATGCAGAGTACCCTCCTCTCACCCAGGCCAACATGCAACCTGGCAGAAGAGCCCTCCTCTCTTAAAGACAACCATGCATTTCAAAACGGACTTCTTTACTGCAAACTCAGGATCAGAAAAAGTCTAAAGAACCCATGCATTTGGAGTTGGTAGAAGGCTTTCCTTAGTCTCACAGGCCTAGAGAGAAAACCATGCAAGGCATTTACCTAGACCAAAATCCTGTTGAAACAAACATATTTTAAGCTTTGTTTAAGCCGGTGAGTGTCATGGCTCTTGGAATAACAGTCTTGCTAAAACAGAAAAAATCAACACACTTTTCCTTCTGGTATGTCTTTGCATAAATCTCTTGTGCGAGATTAACTGATACCATCTGTGGGTGTCCCCTCTGTCAGCTTGCAGGCTCGCATTTAAATGTGCAAGTCTCTTTTCTGAGCCTCTTTTCAAAGGTGCAGAAACAAGCGCTGGCCCTAGCCGGTGGCCAAACACTGCCTCGGAGTCCCAAATCTTTTAACCTCTTGCTTCCAACTCTGCATCTAAAGGCAAAACAATCCCGGAGACACGGCCCTCCCCCTGCCTTTGATAGGCTGCTGGGAATAGCAACAGCCTGTGTCACTGAAAAGGGCAAAGCCTTCGGAAATAGAAACAAAGTTGGTCACAAATCACACCGGCTTTGCCCGAAGTTCCCCGCCCCCCCATCCCCCCATTCTTCTTTAGCATGGTGCTATGGGGAAAGTGACCAGTGCTGTCATAGGAGGAGGTCCGGGTGGTTTGGTGGCGAGGGAGAGGCTGTAACTTCTACGTGACCATGGTACCTGTTGAAAACACAGAGGGCCCCAATCTGCTGAACCAGACTGGGAGAGAAGCGGAGACCCATGGCAGCTACGGAGCCAGCGGCCGCCGGCGTCCAGCCTGCGCGGGAGGTAAAGTGAGACCACGGGGCTCTGCTCCCGTATCCGCTCGAGGGGCGAGCTGTCCCCGTGTGCCCCTCGGGGCTGTGCGTGTGTGGGAGTGCGGGTGCGCGAGCGCGTGTGTGCGCGCCCACGGGAGCGCGCTGGGTGCGTGGAGCTAGCTAGGATCGCAGGGTCTGGTGCGACGTGGAGGGACCTGGAACGTGGGGTCTGAAGTCTCCTTGGGACTTTATGCTTTAAGAAAATGTGAATTACATACCAGCTACTGGTATGGTGGGCTCTACCACAGTGGACACGTCTCTCTCGTTGGAAAGGTGGGTCCCAGCCTCACTTGTGAACACACGCACTTTTTCATTTATTGTGGCAAATGGACAGTGTGGAACAAGTGAACATTATAAGCATCATTTTAAAAATCAATCTTTTAAGCAGACAACATAAAATTATCAGTTCTGTAATCACTGAACCCAACTTTCTTTTGAACTTGCCTTATTCTATATTTGAAGTGACTTTGCTTGTTTCTGCTTTCCATGGAGCTTGTCTTTCAAACTGAGATTCATTGGATACCTTTTCCTTCCCAAAGTGCAATTTCGAAGAGTTTTCATTCCATCATCTTTGCTCACCCAAATGCCTGTCTGTGCCTTCACATTTACAGTCCCCACAAATGCTCTGCACAGCTTTTTGCTGATTCTTTCCATCCACTGAGTTTGCAAAAGGTAGTTGTGATATGAGATATCAAAAACAGATGATCTTCTCCTTCTTACTATTAGTATTTTCATCAGCTCTGCTCTTCTTAATCATGTTACTTTCCCAAGCTACCTAGTGGAACTTCATGAATGGTTTACAATGCTCAGTGGTACAGAAGTCACTGTTTTTTGCCTGGGAATGGGTCTATAGGATGGTGTTTGGGTTGTGGGTTTGCCTGATCTTGGCACAAAGCCTCCTGTGGAGGTGGAGAAGCTGCCTTGGTCCCTGCCCTGCCCCCTGCTCAACCTGCTCTTGCTTTCCCTCTTCTATTCAAGAATGGACCTGTGGGGCTATCTTTCAATATGGACTCTCTCTCCTCAAGCAGAGCTGTGCCTTTCTCCAAGGGCTTGCTGGCCGACTGGAAAGTCCAACAAGAGCAATTCCAATTGCTAGTGGGGATGAAGAGGAAAACTTAGAGAGTGCTTATCTATGAATTCTTGAGAAAGAGCTGCAAGAGATAGCCAAGCAGGCCGAGGTGATGGTGGCTATCAAAGGGTTAATTAAATGGAGTCAGTGTGTCACAGTGTCACAAAGAGGAAAGAAAAAGAAATTGCCCAATAGGACTTTTGCAACAACCATTAAAAATTGACTAATTTTACCACTCACCTGTAATCTCAGTATATAGGAGGATGGGGCAGGAAGATTGAGGCTAGCATGGATAACATAGTGAGACTGTCTCCAAACATACACGCGCGCACACACACACACACACACACACACACACACACACTTTAATTTGACTTTGAAAGCACAGTCTTCCTTCATAGTTAACATTGTACACATTCCCAAGTACTTCTGTGGAAGGCAATGTATAGTTATACTATATGTATTATATACTATTCAATGTAAAGTGCTCCTGCTTATATAAAATGATGAATGGATACCACAAATTATCAAGCTTAATTTTTGGGGGGTCTTTTTTTTATTTTTGAGACAAGGTCTCCCTTTAGCCCCAGCTGGCCTGTAACACACTATGTAGACCAGGCTGGCCTTGAACTCACAGAGACCTACCTGTCTCTGCCTCTGCCTCCCAAGTGCTGGGATTAAAGGCATGCACCACCACACTTAGCCTATCAAGTTTAATTTTAAATGAACCTTTATTATGTAGAAGAGAAAGCCTAGCGTTTTCCCTAACACCTCAGATGAATACAACTTTGGCTCATGATATATGTAGTTTACATTTAGTTTACTCTTTAGAGTTACTTTATAAATTTTCCTAAAGTGTCTTAAGCATCTCTTGACACCTCAAAGCAATATATACAAATACATGTACTATGCAGCCTTGTTGTATGGCTTTAAGAAGCCATTTAATGTTTCTACTCACTAATGTTGGGATTATATTTTAACCTATTTTAGCAAGATATTGACTGTTTATTGACATAATATTTGCCAAGCACTATCTTTGGCTTCTTCAGATTTCAAGCTTATACAATTTCTTTTACCCAGAAAATTCAGAGTGTTTAAAATATGCTTGATGGTTATCATCATATTTCTCTGTTTGAAGGCAGTGAGTTTTTCTATATTTCTACATGGAAAAAAATATCAAAGCTAAACGTAAATAAGTCACCCAGGTAAAGGTGATTAAAGCATGTGAGATACTGAAAAAGCAAAACAAAACATAAGATAAACTCTTGGCTCTGAAATGCTGCTCTCCGCACACTTGCCCAAAGCTGTTGCACATGGATGCCTCTTGGCAGGTCTTCCTTCATCAACCACTTTTTAATTAGAAGGGGCGCTGACCTGGGGATTCCCTGGCACAGGGGCTTTGGGTTTTTCCTTCATCCTCTCTCCCATGCTTTCCTTATTTCCAGATCCGAATACCTGGGTAGAGAAAGTTCTCGAAGTCTCCTTTGCTTCATCATCACTGATTTTCTTCTCCCTTCTGCCCCAAAGGTCAGAAACCAAGAACAGTATTCATTGTATGAGATCAAGTCCTTAGCACTTCAGATAATACTGTGGAACAGAAACATTCAGAATTTGACTCACAGACCCCTCTGGAAGGGCCCCTCTTCATCCCTTTGAAGACATCACAGCCTAGGGCTTCAAAAATACACACTTCCACTAATCAGAATACCCTAAGGAAATTAGTTGTTTTCAGAGATCTTTTTTTTTGGTCTTTTTTTAAAAAATGTAAGGTGTTTTGATCAATCCATGCCACTCCCTCCCCTCCAACTCCTCCCATATCTCCCCATCACTTTTTTCTGATAACTCCATGTACTCTTTCTTCTTCTTCTTTTATTTGTTTATTTTTTCTAATAGAGCGTTTAGTTACTCTAACATCTCCCCCTCTGAAGAGGTAACCCTAAAATCTTTTAAGGATTAAATAAAAGCTCTCAAATATTTTCGATGTTTTTGGCCTTTGGAAAGGAATCTGTTGCTAAGAGGCCCAAGGACATTGTGAGGTTTTTTTTTTTTTTTTAATTCTTTTATTTATTATTTTTATTTTATGTGTATTTGTGTATTGCCTGAATGTAGGTAGTGCACTGTGTGGTGCAATGCCCGCGGAGGTCAGAAGAGGCTGTCAGATCCCCTGGGACTGGAGTTACTGACAGTTGTTAGCTGTCATGCGGGTGCTGGGATTTGAACCCAGGTCTTCTGCAAGAACAGCCAGTGTTCTTAACCACTGAGCTATCTCTCCAGCCCTGGACATTTTGAATTTTAGCCAAGAAACTGGGTACTTTTCTTTGGGGTCTTTTTACCCTAACTGCCTAGCCAATTCCTACCTCCAATTTTTATTACACTATCCTCTGAAGAGGTTACCCAGCTTGCAAATAGGGAATCAGGACTTGAGACGCCGACGCTCTGGCTTTTCCATGCTGAACAGGGACACAGGGTGAGGCAATTGGAGTACCCCCTTTTTTTTTTTCGTCTTTTTGAGACAAGGTCTTCCGGTAGCCCCAGCTGATCTGGAACTCGATATTTAGACCAGGCTGGCCTTGAACTCATAGAGATCTGCCTGCCTCTGCCTCCCAAGCACTTGGATCAAAGCCATGCCCAGCTGTTTCCAGAGATTTTTAAAGCTGTGAGCTCCATTTCTGAAGCTGAGAGGTGGTTTGCATGTGCAAGTCAGTAAGACTTCCCTGAGTTTCATTCTCTCAGGCTTAGCTTAAAACTGGGGTTCTTGATGCCTCCAGTCTGGCTTTCTCAGGGTTATCTAAAGGGCAGTCTTCATGGAAGAGATTTGTGAGGAACAAATGCATTCCCAGGGAGAAGTCAAACCAGCCAGGCCTGATGATAGAGCTTTGATTGCAAGAAGATGGAATCTAACAACAGGTCTTGTTATCTTGTGCAGAGCCAGGCCTGGGGCCAGGCCTCTCAGAGGGTGAGCTGTTGGGCTATTGCCATTTTCACAGGCTTCATATATATATATATATATGTATATCCCATGAGATGATTATCAGATAAAGGCACCTGCTGCCAAATCTGACAACCTGAGTTCAATACCCAAGACCAACAAGATCAGAGAGAAAACTCACTCTGGTAAGTTGTCCTCTGCCACACATATGCTGTAGCATGAACACACATGTGTACATACATGTAAACACATAATATGTAAATAAATGTAATAATTGTTTTAAATATGACAAAACACTGCATTTTAAAAATATGTATTTTAAAAATATTTTATTCACGATTTTTATTTTATGTATATGAGTGTTTTGCCTCCATGTATTTAAGTATACCTGTGTCATGCAATGCCTGCAGAGGTCAGAAGAGGGTGTCAGATCCCCTGGAATTGGAGTTATGGACAGTTGTTAGCCAGTACTCAACCGCTGAGCCATCTCTCCATCCCCTAAAAATATGTATTTAACAAATGATGGCTGATAACAACTGTGTTGCTATGCTCCTAATGACGTGAAAGGAAATGGTAGGATTTGGAGACATTAATTTGTGAACAACTAGAGGTCTTGAGTCTGGAAAGGAGACTAGTTTTAAAGATAGATTATCTCCCCTTTGGGTCCAACCAATGTCCCTGAGACAGGACATTTAACTTTACTTGGAAATCACACCAGAATTCTAACTTGAGACTTTGCATGACTGTGAGACTTGAGCAAATGGTTCCTGGGGGACCTCCTGGGAAAGGGAGGCGCTATGCAAACATAGTGGGATTTGTTCCACCACAAAGCCACATAGCAGTGTTCTTGTTACTCTCTAGGGACCAGTCACCCTGAGAGGGCAGAGAGGTTGTCCCTTGCCATGGATCCTGACGGCAGCAGTAGCAACAGCCAGCACCTAGGCTGTGGCAGGAAGTTGGCAGACATGGCCAT